TCTAAAGAATGATTTAGGATGGTTCTTTTTCAATCTCTAATTAATAAATAAGCAAAATATAATTTTAATTTTTTTACCTATAGTTGTTTACCTATAGTTGCTTTGTAAAATGTCAATGGTGTAGGAACGGGATTTAAGTAGTAAATTGTTGTAATATATTGCCCCGAACCTGTATGCCAATGGAGATTTAAATTTTTTTGCGATTTTTATTATATTTCATCAGTTATCTACAAAAAAAATACTATTGACACATTTTAATAAGTTATTAGTTTAGAAATTTGCGAGGTAATAAGAAGAAAATAATAATTAGTATTACAAATAAAATAATAAAAGGTATCTTGTTTCAGAGCTACCTCTGAAACGAGATACCTCTGAAACGAGATACCTTTAACGTTATATGTTCATATGTTGTATATATTTTTTTCATAAAATGACACTAAAAATTAACTTAATACTAGAATATTGGACATTTACGAAACATAGCGTATATACATAGGATATAATTACTAAAAAATTATATAAATATTAATAATTTTGCGCTTTGAAGAACAATTTCATTTTGTACTGTATTTTCACTATCATATTTTCACTATTGCGCATCATTGTATATATAAAGAAGAAACTTTGGCGGAGGAAAATTATATACACTCGCTTTAACTTTATTCTTTCAAATAATTTGTTAAATTACATATTGACGTTAGCGGATTGGTTTCATTTATACTGAATATTGTATATTAATTATATACTTAAAAATTTCTTAAGGTTATCGGTAATACACAAGTCTCTAAATGATTTATTTCAAATGGTTGATCTTGCTGTTCCTTCTTAAGTTCCGAAATAAATTACTTGTCCACGCGGTCAGATGCGCCTGAATATCCGATATTCCGGAAGTTAGAAATATCTTTAACAAATTTGTTGATTACAAGTATTTACTATCAAATTATTTATCAGGACACGAACTTTAAAAATATAACAATGTTGCTTTTTCCTAAGTGTCGAAAACTAACAATTTGTCCGCTCAGGCGTGCCATTGCGCACGCATAACCGCATTGAGAAAACCATTTAGTTGAATCAACTAAATTCTTATTTGACTATGGACAAACAAAATTTCTTGGTTGTAATAACCAAAGTTTAGTTGTCTAAACCGAAGGTTTAGTTCTCTGAAGTTTCAGAGGTCTCAAAGAATTAAACCTTGGCTTTTATAACAAAAAATTTGTTTGCCCATAGTTAAACAAAAATTTAGCTGATTCAATTAAATGGATTTTTCAGTGTACGCTATTTACGGCGTGTATAATTTTTTTCATCACTTAGGAAAAAATAACAAAATCAGACGTTGTTATAATCTTAAAGTACATATTCTGGCGAATAATTTGATAGTAAATATTTGCGAACAATAAATTTCTTAAGAGCATTTCTAACGTTCGGAGTATCGGACTTAGACGCGTCTGACTGTGGACAAAGTAATTTATTTCGGAACTAAAAAAAGAGCAACAAAATAAGACATTGTTATATTTGTAATGTACCTGCTCTGACGAATAATTTAGCAAATACTACATCAATTTTTTCTGGTTTCTTTGGGATTTCAAGCACGCTGAGAGTCTTTATGCTATTATTTCAATTTATTTTGCGAGCAACAAAATAATTATTTCCTCATTAACTACTGCGAATTTTGCAAAATTCTACATGACTTTTCTGCTCAGTTATATCCGTTCTACCTGTACGCCACAAAAACCAAGAACGGTTTACCGAGGACACTCTATATGTGCTCCTATATACAGGGTGTTTGAAAAAATGTATTTAGCATTTATATAGTAGATAGGATATATCATATTGAGTAAAGAAGTTTTAATAAATATAGATCGAAAACTCGACCTATTTTTATTTATATTAATATCATGACTGACTTATTGGTTTCTATGTATCACGTGCGACGCGAAAAGAGAGGATAATCTTTCCAAATTTTTACCTCGATATTTACAGGTGTTCCATATTCTCCTTCTATTTATATGCACGCTTGGCATCTTTTTCTTACAGAATCATAAACTGTATAATGAAAAGTGAACGATTGCTGGTGTAATTTTTCTAAAGTGTGTGTAGAAATTGAATGAGGACATTCAGGACGCGATTTGTGATTTACGGAGGTAAATCTACACGTTGCATGCAACATATAAAAGCCAATAAGTCAGTCATGATATTAATATATAAAATTATTTATATCTCAGAAACGATTTAGTTTTCGACTTATGTTTGCTGAGATTCTTTTACTCACCATGACGTACACCATATGAATACTGATTGCTTTTTTTAATACTCTGTATATAGTATATATTCACGTACACGTATACGGATATATATATGCTTAAGATATCCTATCATTATCATTACCTATTTATATAGAAGATTAACAAAAAAAACTGTCGGAAATGTTCCTCATTGATTTTGATGAGTTGCATATATTGTAGAACAGCAATAAATAAAAAATCCATCATTTTATATGCTTATCTATATTTATCTATATTACTGCTTATTTTTAAAAATTCAAATAAAAAAAATAATTATTGTAAAATATAACAAATAAAAGTCAAATATGTTTCTGGAGATATTGAAATGATTTGATTTCATAATGTTACCTGAATTAACTGTTCTCAAAATATTCAGGATTTAAATTTGTTACTTGTACCTTCACGTAAAGAAATGATTGTAGAATTTCATTCAGATTCTAATAAAATAGTAAAATTCTAAACACCGTGGAACACCCATGGAGCACCCGTTATATATGATCATTTTATCAACATCATTTTCAATCATTATTAACAAAAAATTACAAAGCATTTTAAATATTATTTTTTTGAATTTTTTGAAACACTTATTGTGAAAAATATTGCAATGTATGTTTTTTTTGCTATTTAACTCTATATTCTTTGGTCTGTTTCTATTTAAAAAATCATTAAAATGCGTTTAATATTTTATTAAAAAATGAGCATATTTTAGGCATTTTAAGTACCATATATTACCTATTAAAAGAAACCATTAATTTTTTAATTATACTTTTTGCTGAAATTACAGAAAGCGATTTAAAAATTATGGCGACCATTACGATGAGCACACTGAATATACTATTACAAAATTTAATTACATTTTAGCTTAGCATACATTTTAGTTTAGCGTTTGACATTGAATGTCTTCCTAAGGAATTAATTAATTTTTTAAATATTTTTATTACGAGCTCGTTTGCATATTTCAGCAAGAATATATTAAATATGTTCATAGATTTTTGTTGGTCTCGATGAACAAACAATTCAAAATTCAATAACGATATATGCAGTTATATAAATAAAATCGTAAGACAAGAAGTCGACAGATGTTTTTATATATTTTTTTATATAAATGTATTATATTTNTATTTATTATTATAAATTCGTGATAATAGTTATGATAATTATAAAAGTATAGTAACATAGTCTTGCATTTTATGGCATACTTCTTCAGACGATTAAAAAAATGTAAAACATAAAAGCAATTGTCCCAAATCTGCATTATTATAATTGTTAACATTTAAACATATTAAAAACTACGTAAAACTGACTTCAAAACTATACTATTATATTTTCTCATTTATGGTGTTATCGAAGCTGTATAAATAGAAATTAATAAATATTATTCAAATATATTCTAGATTTCCACATAACATAGATAGCATATATTAATTCGTACTTAGGAATTTACAAATAAAATGTCTTAAACTGAAGTTTACAACAAATATTTTAGCTTGTA